TGCGTTCTACATGGTCTCCCTGAAAACAAGACCAAGTTGCGACAACGAGGTCAACCCACTTCTATCTGTTGAGCTTACTTCCTATTCGAGTGAAAGTATTGAGTGAAGAGATTCGAAGGTCGGTTCCACCAGAAGACGACGGCCGATTCCTCCTGACCAGCTGTTGATTGGCTTGACTGGAAGATTCATGCTGGCGCTGTTTCCAAAGCAATCTCCTTCGATTCCGGTGAAAGGTGCTAAGCTTTCGTCCGTCATTTGACGAACATCATCAGAGCAAGGTATCATCGTAACAACAAAATTCAAGCTGACGAGTCAAGAAAACGTATCGAGCTTACACGCTGCACTAACCAAATCACTTTATATTTAATCAAAGAGGCCAAATGTAGAGTATATATATCACTTTTTAGGGGATTACCGGTGAGTTTTCTTGACTCGTTAGCTTGAATTTTGTTGCTACGATGCTACCTTGCTCTGATGATGTCCGTCATATGACGGACGAAAGCTTGGCACCTTTTTACCGGAATCGAAGGAGATTGCCTCGGAAACCGCGTCAGCATGAATCTTCCAGTAAAGCCGATCGACAGCTGATCAAGAGGAATCCGCTGTCGTCTTCTGGTGGAACCGACCTTCGAATCTCTTCACCCAACAGTTTCACTCGAAATCGAAGTGACCTCAACAACCATGAAAGAAGAGATTCCTCGAAACCCAACTTTTTTTCGTCAAAAATCTATATCAACACATGAAGATACAGACGCACAGAGAGACATATGCACACATGCCCCAAGATTGGCATATGACTTAACCCAATCAAATCACGTTATAGCGTAAAAAAAGGATAAATTTATGGTATATAAGGGATTTAGAGATAAACCGATGAGTTCTCTTGACTCGTTAACTCGAATATGGCTGTAAGGTTGATGCCCTGGTCTGAAAATGTCCATCATAAGACGATGGAAAACTTGGCAAATTTTCACCGGAATCGAAAGAGCTTGCCTCGGAAACAGCGTCAACAAGAATGTTCTAGTAAGGCCAATCGATCAAGAGGAATCTGCCGTGATCTTCTGGTGAGATCGACCTAAGAATCTCTTGACCAAATACTCGAAATGGAAGCTAGCTCAACAATGCAATAATGCTTCACTAAAAACTTAATAAGCTCAGGTTGCCAAGAATGATTTAAGCACTGGTAGGCAAGTTTGCTCCCAGGTGGAGTGAATACTCTGTTAGTAATAGAATAAATTCTATTCATTATAATTATATTTCGATAATATCAGTAAATCTTGAATAAAAACTGTATTTAGCCTAGTTAGTATAATGTGATGGAATGATAGTCGAATTTGCCCATATTATACGAGGAAAATGCGGGTTTCGATGAAACTCTTGATATAAGACTTTCACAGGGACTGAAAGGCTTCACAACAATTTCCCACAATAATATGAGCAGACCTTTCGATGTCATTATCTCCTAAACAGCACTTTTACCCAGGGTCGACGGCGGTTTCTTTCACTTGTCTGAGACTCATTAACCTCTTCGACATGGTTCTGCCGCAGAATAAATTAGGCCACTCCAATATCACATTTGTGGCGGCACTGTCGATAAACAAGTGTGCATTCTTGAAGATATGAAGACCAAGATGGTGTGGACTTCGGTATGGTCGAAATCTTCTTTCGAGGCATAGAAGTGAGTTGACCACGTTGCCGCAACTTGGTCGTGTTCTCAGCGCGACTTAGTTAAACGCATTTTGCCTCATATTCATAGTTAGCATTCACATGTGGGATGTGAGATATTGGAAACATGTCAAAAATATAGGCTTTACTTTGTAAATTCGATTCCAGTAGGGGCTATTGATGCGAACCAGGCGAAGTGGAAATTGGATAACTTGTAGGAAGAAAGCCTAAAAGAATTCCGCCAAGATGTTAATCTACCAAACAGCAAGACTTAAAAAAAACTGGTAGTCTCAAACCCTACTTGCATACGATTAAAAAAAACAACCTGGTCAGCCTAGGTCGCTTAAGGTGACTAAAGAATTGATGTCTTAGTGTTTCCGCAAGCTGAAAAGTAGGCTTCAGGATACAATTGAAGTTCACTTAGTTTTATCGAAGATATGAAGACCAAGATGGTGTGGCCTTTTGTGTGGTCGCAGTCTCCTTTCGTTGTA